CAGGACGCTGTGCAGATGGAAAAGTAACGGTTCTTATCAGCTTTTAACAGCTGGCAGCTCTGTGGTTTCATGTACTTCCCATTGCTGCAACAGCTATTTTAGGCAAATTATCATCTTAGAGATCATCACAGAAATTTCCCTGATCACCGAAGGAGGATATTAAAGCAGCTAAAGCCAAAACTGAAAAGCTGGTCAGAGGTTTTGCTGCCTAAATCACTTGAGATTCTGTAGCTTCCTCAGGCCATTCCCAGATGCAATTTCTTTGGTTTCCTCCTTACCCACCATGCTCACTAAATTGCTTCCAGGTAATTTATAATCAAGATCAGGAAACTGGGAGAAGCCTGGAGGGTTGGTAGCAAGCAAATCTCTCTTATTGGTGGTAGCTTTTCCTGACTCGAGGGTGTCCCACAGCCCTCACGAGCTGCATGTGCCATCCTGTGACTGCAGCAAGGGCACAGCTGCAGCACAGTGCTCGAGCACGCAGCGATGCTGCAAAACACTTCAGGGCAAGGGAGAGGCAAACAGAGCAGGAATTCAGGGTCTGTTCTCTTACAGCAGTTCCCAGACTGCAGCATTTGGGCAAGAAATCTAAGCTGAGGGGTAAAAGTGCTCTTTAAACTACGAGAATTCCCCACATTCATGTGCTGGGCAAAGGCAGAGCTGTTGACATGGCCTGACTTGCCTGGTGAAAGCCACAGAGCCCACTCTAATGATTCCTGAATGGCACAGAACAAATCCCATCTTCTAGGTGGAAGAACTGCTCTGTCTCACCTGCCCACCTTTTCTGAGGAGAGGGATGGGTCCCTTTGAAATAGCATATCTCATTTCTGCCATCCTGACCCCAGGGAGTCTCTCACACCCTGGCAGGATGACGACAGCTGCAAAGGCCTTTCTCTGCCCCGCTTCAACCTCAGTGAGTGCCAGTCTCTGATGGTGGGGATGGACAGGGAGGAGTCCCAGTCCTAAACAAGGACTCCCAGACAGCTCCATGGCCAACTGCAGAACAGGCAGGACTCACACACAGTGCAGTGCTGGGTCTGGGAGCCAGCTCTCAGCTCTTTGTGCTGACTGACACAGAAGCAGCACAACCATACAGAAGGGGTAATGCCAAAGGCATCTTCAGGGCTAGGAAGGTTCCGAGATGCTCACATCCAAGTTAGGAAACAACAGCCCCCAGGAGCTCAGCACAGCACACGCTTCCACACCCACACATCCTTGCTGCCAACCGGGTCTAAGACAAACCAAAGCCACACCATGAGCCTGCCTGGTCACTTCACTTACCCATCAACTGCAAATGAGAGAGGGCAGGAGTCTTACACCTTACTTGGGAAAAAAGGGATGCGAGGTCTAACCCTTGGACTGGAGAAGCACTCCTCCATTCCTCCTCCACTGAGGTGCAGCACCATTTCTGAGGAGCCACACGATGCTGTTTCTCCTTGCTGAGTACCTGAGCTGCCCTGATAAGCACCTCAGTGTTACACCTTGCACATGCTGCTCCCCTGCTTTGTTCTCTACCAGTACTTTTAATTGTTTCTAAAGCCTATCTCACTTACCTGAAAAGGTGGCTCCATCCTATGCTGAGGACAGTTTCCAAGTCCACAACCTGCTATCCACTCATTTCTGTGCTGCACATCTGTTACACGTCTGCCTGCACCAGTGATATACGCTCTGCACTCTCCTCTGCAAACAGCTCTCGTTTTCCACACAGGTTTTCCTCTCTGGTAACACATCTGCTGTTGTTAACTCCTCTCTCATTTCTCCTCTGCTCCCTTTCCACCCTACTTCCACAAAGTTACTCTTCAGCTGCAGTTCTCTGGGGTCCCTGTCAGAGTGAGACACATTTGTGGTCTCCTTCCCCTGTGTTCAGACCTACCCCCAAACCCCAGTACAGCTCCTCTGCTGACACCAGCTTTTCTTTCTTCCCAGCAGGACTGCACGTTGCATTTCCTCTGGAAGCCATGTCCTGTGTGCCTGTTACTCCACAGGCTCACAAGCTTCAACACATGTCCCAAAAGAAAACGTCACAAAGCAGCTGTTATAGGCAGCAGGGGATAAACCTCTCCAACAAAATTAAATAAAAGCCATTTTGGCAAGGATTTCCACTGCAGTGCTGAGAATTCAAAATCCCAAAGTAGAACATGAACTTGAGGCAGTTGGGCTTGTGGATGAACAGGGCCTTTGTCACATCCTGAGAACTTGGATCTGCTGCAGCTACACCAACAGTGGTTAAAACAAAATGACAAGAAGCAGCTACTTTCAAATAAGGCCAGGAAGAGGTAAAGGCAGCTCACTGATTTTATTTTAAAGCATTAGATGTGATTCCATGAACAATTACAGGCTGGGAAACACAACCATGCTCAGAGCCAGCAGCCAATGCCCAGGCAGCTCTGAGGGAGCCCCTGATGTTGGGTTCCAAACGCTCCCCAGCACTGCAGCCCTGTGCCCGCCCGCAAGCAGCAAGAACTGAAACCACCTCATCTGTTTGCTTTTCCAAGCTAAATATAGGACAAAGGAGTGAAAGGCACAGATGGTGAAAGCTCCGCAAGTTTTTAGGTTCTCCTGCTCTAGGAGTTTAAGCTGCTGAAGCACAACACAAGGCTGAGCCTTCTCAAATACCTTCACAACTGGGCAAAGCCCAGCTGTACCGATCCCTGCCATGACCACCACAGCCACACACACATGATGTGGGATCATAGGAACAGTCAGGTGAAACACCCCATTCATGTTTCCCTGGTCCAGCTGCCTCTCCTGACCATTTTCTTACAAATTTCCACATAGAAGAGGGACAAAACCACACCCCCGTGCAGAAAGGACTCCGAGTGGAGACACAACAAAAAGAACAAGGAATTATTTCATATGCAAATGTGAGCAGAAAATAAAGGCAGATTAATGATTCAGTAGCAGAATTCTTCCAGGCAAACGAGTGTGGCTGAAAGAAAACCCAAAGGGAGGGTGAAGATGAGGTATTTGGAGGGAACAAAACTGGAACAAAAAAACTTAATCTTTTTTATACACCATTAAACTGGGTTCAAACTGCATTTCTGCAAAGATCCACAATCCTTGTGCAAGTGAGGGGCAGGATCAGAGTAATCACCCAAACAACAAAGTCCAGCTAGTAGGAAAACAGGCAGAGATGCTGAATGTTTTGAGACTCCTTGCTCTCCTTGGAACCGCCCAAAGGATACACAGATGAACACTAAGAACTGGCCTGATCTGAGGGAAAAAGGGGCACTTTGGGTAAGAATATGCTGCAGCAGTGGTAAGGAGAGACTGAAATGCAAAATTAAGCAAAAGCACCGGCAAAACTGTATTTATGTAAAGAAAGAGAAAGAAAAACACCCACAGGAGCAGCACTCAGGATAAAGCCCAGTTTCACCCTCTGTCAAGAAGTGCTCTCAACCACCTCTCCACGCTATACAATACTTCAGTGCCTCCTTACCAGGAGGCTGTGCTGACCACAACACACCTTTGTGAGGTGAATGAGACAGAAATCTCAGAAGCTTGAGATGTCAGGCCTCGCAGAAGTCCATTTAAACCAACACCCAGAGCAGCTCCAGTAGCAGCTCCATCACTCCTCCTTCGGGACAGTGCCGAGAGCTGGAGCACGGAGCAATTGGTGACTCTAAGACAGGTCCTGCACTGCCCACTCAGGGTGTGTGGGGATGGGCACTCCCAGGATCCACCTCAGAGGGCTAGCATTCGTGCATCACAGCAGTACTGACCCCACGCAGCCCTCACAGGTCGCTTCAGGCCCCTCACTCTGAGCGTGTCCAGCAGCAGGGACGGTCAGGAGCTGCTCAGAAAGCACAGAGGACAAGCGCTGTGCCCTCACCTGCACCCTCACAGGCACGGCACTTCCTCTTCACGCTCCCCTGATCCCGCAGCGATGCAGAGCGAGGTCGTGCCCGCAGCCATGAGGTAACACAGACAGCTCTTTTGTCGCCGTGAAGGGAAACTGAGGCACCGCTATGCGCTCAAGGCCCGCCCCGAGCAGCGGCAGAGCCGCGGCCGCAGCTGCATTTTCCGGCAGAGCCTCACGCAGGGACCATCCGCTTTTCCTCAACGCCCCTCGCAGCGCCTTGGATGAACTTCACTGAAAATGTCGGAATACAACGCCAACACCCCCTAGAGTCGGTGCCACCCCGGGGCTGTTCGTGTTCCCCTCTCGCCTCCCGAACTTCCACTGCCGCTGCCCGCGGCCCAGAGCCAGCAAGGCCGGGCCGCGCCGGGCGCCGGCACCGGGCACCGGCCGGGCTCGCAGGGCTCCGACCCTGGGGACGGGGCAGGGCCAACTCCGGGCACGCTGGGCCCACTGCCCTCGGACACCAGAGTCCCCACGGTCCTCGGACACCCCCTGACCTTCAGATACTTCCCCGGCCCGGCGGCTCCCCAGCCCCAACAGTCCCTCAGCCCCCCCGGGCCAGGCAGTTCCCCACCAGCGCTGCCCAAACCCCCAGGCCCGGGCCCTCGTCCCCCGCAGCCCCCCGGGAGGAGGACGAGGACGACGAAGAGGATGAGGAGGAAAAGGAGGAAGAGGAGCGGGAGCCTCACCGGGAGAGGTGCTTCAGGATCTGCTTCTTGATGATGCCCGCCATGCCGGGCCGGCGGGTCAGGCCCGCGGGCGGCGGGACCCCATCGCGGACCGCCCGCTCCGCACCGCCCGCCCCCGACCGGCCCCTTCCCGCACCGCCCCCGGTCCGCCCCGCCCGGCCCCTTCCCGCACCGCCCGCGGCCGGCCCCTGCTGGCACCGTCGCAGTCGCGCTCCGGGCGTGTGCGCGGGGAGTGCGGCCACAGTGAGTCCCCTGACGTTCAGGGACCCGCTCCACGACCCCCACCCAGAGCCCAGGAGCCCCAGGAACCCACCCCGGGATCCTCCAGGACTCCCCTTCCCAGGGGTTCCCCCAGGACCCCCATCAGCCCTTAACTTCCCCTCACAGCCCAGCACTGCTCCCCACCCTTATTTTCTTCCTCAGGAGAGAGTTCAGAACAAGGCTTTGAGTCCATATGGAAACAACACCAATGCTTTATTCTTGTTTTTATCATTCAGTGGTGGAGGGGGGAAATAATAATACAATTGAAGAGACACCTAAAAAGCTAGACCTCATACAAGTCAGTGCCGGCTGTGTCCATGCACACACTGAGGTGACAGCAGAGTCCACACAATGAGTACAAAGCCCCAGGGACACAGGTCTGTGGTATTTATCATAGGGAAGGTCCTAATATGAAAAGGCAGCTCCATCTCCATCTTTATCTGTCTGGACGGGTCATTCCCGGCCTGGTTGGCACCATCATGGGTCTGGAGGGGGGCCTCATCATTGGGGGCCCTGGCATCATTGGCATGTGTCCTCCCATGGGCGGCCTCATCCCAGGAGCTGCCAGGGGAAAGACAGGTTGGAGAACAGCTCTTGGGAACACCACCTGCCCAGTCATGGTAGAACATGGATGGCTTGGGTTGGGATGGGCCTTAAAGATTAATTTCCATTCCCCCACCATGGGCAGGGACACCTTCCACTATCACAGGTTGCTCCAAGCCCTGTCCAAGCTGGCCTTGGGCATTTCCAGGGATGCAGGGGCAGCCACAGCTTCTCATCACAGCAACATCTGCCTTACCACCCTCAGAGGGGGGAAATTTCACACTATACAGTGGGCAGGTTCTCTATCCTGCTCCAGGGAACTCCCACTTTCCCAGTCTGTAATCTCTGATGTGGCAGCTGCCAAGACGGATTCCATTCCTTAAAGGAGCTCAGCCACCAGCAGAGGAGGTTATACACCCATTCTGATAATATTCACTCACTACTTATATCCAGCCACTCAATAGACACATAAGCTTAATTACTCATCTGGAAAAGTGTTCATTTGGAAAAAAGTGCTACAAAACCATCCCATGTGCTTACAAACAAGCAACAAGCACCTCTGCAAGGGAAAAACAGCCCTTAAATAATGGTTTCCATCCTATTTTGTCATTTATTTTTGCCAGGCTGCTGAATATCACAGATTGTACATTTATCTTGTGCCTTTAAAAACACTTAAAAAACACTTTCAAGCGCAAGACAATAATTGCAAAGACACTTCACTACTTTCAGTGCGCGTGTGTGTGTGTGTGTGTGTTCCCACAGACTTGTTCTGGGAACTGCTCCAGTAAGATATCCCTTGAGAATTCTTCAATTGCCAGGAAGCTCAAGAGTGGAATGGATCAAAGACATTTTAGTTTACAGTTCTGATAAAGCCTTTTCCAGGCCCATTGTTTCTCTGGAACACATTCTCCTGAGACACTTTAAAAAGTAAAATTCATTTAGTGCAAAAAATGCATCTCTTGTGCAAAATGTGAGACCTGGAGGCACCAAACTCCTAAACAATTACTGCTCAGAGCAGAGGGAGAACAGCCACGACTTCCCAGAGCTATAATTCCAGCTGCACAGTGGGTTGGTGACTCTCATTGAGAAGCAAAGGGGCTTTAAGGAGTGGCTGTAAAATTGTTATAATCCCCCATGCAGGGGTAACAGTGACACAGGCATGACCAGAATGTGACCATCCCAGCACTGAGCTCCCAACAGATGGTGGAACAGGAAACATGAAACATCACCCAGACCCCCATGGCAGAGTTACCCCATCCCACACTTACCAGGTCCGACTGGCATCATTCCCGGGGGTGGTGGGCCCATCATTGGCATCATCGGGGGCCCCCCCATGTGTGGGGCTGGCATCATGCCGGGCCGGGGGGGGCCAGCTGGACAGACACAACAGTTACACACTGGCACTCTCAGCCACCAAAGGACACTGCAGTTATTCACAGCACATGGCAGTAACTAATGCCTCAGTGACTTTACATCTGCCTCCATTCCAGCCCTGATTCAAGGTGCTAGGAAATGACCAGAGGAGGAATATGCTGGCTACCAACTCCAGCTGTGCACACCCAGCACAGGGAGCTACCACTCCCAACAGCAGGACTTGGGGCTGCGAGGGCTCTGGGCCCTTCATCAGCTCAAGGGAAAAAGGTTACCAAAGTGATTCTGTTTAGAAAAACCAACACAAACCAGCCCACTGTGCAGTTCTAACAGGGCCACCTGCAAGGAAGCCCCCATGGAATGAGGAGCTGTCTCTGCTTCTGGTGCACTCAGCATCCCAGAAATCAGAAACAGTAAGGACTGATCTGCTCTTACACAGAATTTCCTCACACTGTGGGAGCACAAGCTCAAGATAGCTTGGCTTGGCTTGAAGCTAAAAGGCCTTTTCTTTCCAAGCTGAGGACATGAGCAATACAGCTCCAGAGGGCTGTGACCCCAGTCCCAAAGTGTCCCAAACTTACGGATGCTGGGAGGAGGTGGAATCATGGCTCCGGCTGGAGGTGGTGCCGAGAACGGGGTCGGTGGAATTTTCCCTTGCTGGAATGCAGCCGCTACATTGGGGGGGAAAAGAAAAAAAAAAAAAAGGAAAGAAAGAATCCCAGGGAAAAAAAAGCCAGTTACTAGGCTGAGGAAGCGCCGGGTCACTCGTCCATGTCATGCCCCGCGGTCACGTCATGCTGTGTGCGCTGCTGTCCCCACACGCCGGACACATCCCTGGCACCTGGGGAGCACCTGAGACTCCTGGAGACAATTATTGTTACAGCTGGGACTAGAGACCTCCTGCGTGGATGTCACACCCCTGGGCAGGGCGGGAAGGTGGGTGGGTGGGAGAGGAAAAAAAATCAACCACATCACGGGATCCGCAGTGTTCCACCAGGACATACTGTGCTGGAATGGCAACGAGGCAAGGGCTGGGGAGGGGGCAAGGAGCAGGAAATAGGGGGCAAGGAAAGGGGGAAATTCCACTGGTATTGACTGGAAGGAAGGCAAAAGATGGGGAACTTTGAAGCATCACAAGGAAATAGACAAAGGGAAATAGAGTGAGGATGAGTTAGGGAAAGTCTGGACCGGACATTCTAGAAAAACTCTTCACCAAAGGGGGTTGGGCACTGAACATTCCCCAGGGAAGTGGGCACAGCTCTGAGTCTGTCAGAGCTCAGGGACCAGCTGGATGATGCTGCTGGTCACATGGTTTATTTTTGGGCAATCCTGCACAGAGCTGGGAGCAGGATCAATGATCCTTCAGGATCCTGTCCAACCTGAGATACTCTATGAGCCAAGGAGTGCTGCCATTAAGTTAATCTGGTGTTTGTATTTCTTTCACAGAGGAAAGAGACATTCCTCAGAGAAAAAAGAACCTCTTGAAGTGACAGAGGAAACAATGCCACACTTCAGTTAAGCCTTTAAGTACCAGAAAAAAACGTAACTTGGGAACTGAGGGTAAGCAACCCCAGCATGTGAAAAAATGCAACAATGCCGTTTTAATGTCCATTTTCCTATATTTTTTAATTTTTCCATGTTCTTAGCATAAATGTGCCACTGCCAAGCAGCACAGGTTTGTTATGTGGCTCTGTAGGATACCAGTGAGAGCAGTGGAACTGACAGCCCTCGTGAACAGTGACATGGAGCCACTGCCACCAGCCCTGGGAGGGAACCTCAGCTCTTCTGTGGTAGGCAAAGCTCTCAGGCTCCCCTAGGACAGCCCAAAACCTGAGGAACTCAAGATCTACACTCGAAGTCTTCACTCATGACTCACTAAGCGAAGACTCCCCAGGGAAATGAGGAAAAGTCAAGGTGGAAGCAGGGAACAGCAGCTGGAGGAAAGGCAGGGGAAGGAATGGGGAGGCAGCCAGGGTCATAGAAAGATTTGCCTTACTTGTTTTGTCAATCAGGCTCTGGGCTTGCTCCTCCATCCATTTCTGGTAATAATCCTTCACGTTCTCCTTGTGCTTCCGGCCACTGCAGTGGGTTTTTCTCACCGAGGGCTGGGAAAGGTCACAGAAACCCTAAGGTTACCCGGTGTTCATTATGATTTAAAACATGTATAATTTAGCACCATCAAGCAGGTTTGTTTCTGTGCCCAGGCACAGGAGGAGTGATGTGCAAAACCTTTATGTAAAGTTTTATCAGAATAATAAGTGTTGGTTCTCCAAAGGCTGCCCTGAGGCCCCCCCCCAACTGCTTTCTCTGACCCTGCCACTGCCCCGCTGGAGAACTCCAGGGACATTCCCTCCCTTTTTTGCATGGAAGGGGAAAATACTAAGGAACACCGCTGTGTCTCACGAGACCTGTTTTAGCCGAGGTCAGTTTTATTCTAATGTTCTTGACACACGAAAGAATTAACACACGAAAGAATTGTACTCACCGAGTCATGGGTGAGGTACGTGTCACAGTAATCACAGTAAAACCTGCGGGGTAAAAGCCTGGTTATTCAGAGCCCCCTTTGCGCTGTGAGCGTTAACGGAGCCCCGGGAACAGCCCCGCAGGGCGCCAGGGCTCGGCCCGCCCGGTCATCCACGCCCCTCACGGCCCTGGGCTCCCGGGGAGCACCAGGACCCTAGAAAAGCACCGACCCGCGCCCGGGACCCTCGGGGAGCCCCGGCCCGGCCCCCCGCACTCACTTGGGCATGGCTCTCCCGCCGCCGCCAGCCGGAAGTGACGCCCACGCGCAGTGACGCACTCAGACAGCGCCTCCGTCCGCGGCTTGACCCCCGCCAGCTGCCGTAGGGCCGGAAGTGACAGCGAATGGGCCCCGCTGTGTCGTTCTCCCCGCCCGGCAGGTGGAGCCATGCCGCACCCGTCCCTGTCTGGTCACGCCACCAACTCCCGCCCACAGGCCCGGCAGGGCCGGCATCGCCCCCTGGCGCACGGCGCGCAGGGTTCATTGAGGCATCCGATGCTGCCAAAGCGTGTTTTCCTTGTTCTCTGTGTTCTCCTCACGAACACACCCGGTGGTTCCGATCACGAGCCGCGCACAGAACAGTCTCGCGCGGTCGAAAACTGTAGGAAAAACATTGTTTTTAGGGGGAAAAAAACACCGAAGGAGCTCCCATCGAGTCTTGCACCTATATTTGTATGGCACCGCATGACGTTCAGCAGCTCATTTATATACACAAACACGCGCACTCGCCGCCATATATGGATGGCAGCGCGCGAATGTGGGCGGAGACGAGCGATCGCCCCACCCCCGATGACGCGACGGAGCCCGCGCGGAGGCCCCACCTCACGCGCGGCTCTTATTTGCATGCGAGGCACCGCCCCCTCGCCCTTGACGCGCTCCCTACCTCCCCCCTCACCGCGCGTGAGGTGACGCCAGCTGGGGGTGACGTCACGCTCCGCGCGCCGTGGGGCGGGGCGGCGCAGGCGCAGTGCCGGCGGCGAGGGCGCGCGCGCACCCACTTCCCCCCCCCCCCCCGCCCCCCCCCCCCCCCCCCCCCGCCCGCCCGCCCGCCCCCGCGCGCCCCCCCCGCGCGCGCGGCGCTGAGGCGGCCCCGGCCCGGCCGCGGAGCCCCCGGGACCCCCGGCCATGGAGGGCATGGACGTGGACCTGGACGCGGAGCTCATGCAGAAGTTCAGCTGCCTCGGCACCACCGACAAGGACGTGCTGATTGGCGAGTTCCAGCGCCTGCTCGGCTTCCAGCTTAGCCCCGCCGGCTGCGCCTTCTTCCTCGACATGACCAACTGGTGCGGGCCCGGGGCCGGGGGGGGTGCGGGCGAGACGGCCTGAGGGGCTCGAGGGGCCGCGGGCCCGGCCCTCCCCCCGCTCGGTCGCCCCAGGGCCCCGCCGGGGCGGGGGGAACGGGCGGTGTTTGTGCTGGGCCCTCTGTCCCCTGCCCGGGCCGGGCGGGCGGCGCGGGGCCGGAGGCGGCTCCCATGGCAGTGGGAGAGCGGGACGGGGCCGGGGCGGAGGAGGCTGACTCTCGGCCCCAGCCTGGGGTGCGGGTTCACTGGTTCGCCGGTCCAAGGGCCGCGGTCGGGGACGGGCTGTGGCGCCCCGACTTTGAGGCAGCTACGGAGGAAGGGAAATTGTGGCAGAAAGGCGCTGTAGGACCCTGGAAGCTGCCGCGGTGCACGTGTGAGAGTTACCGGGGTGTTTGGGGAAAACTCAGCGTCTGTCTGTGGACTGAGGGTCTCTCTAAATCTTTTGACTCTCGGGTGTGTGTTTGTCTTGATAAAGGCTCTGTGTTACTGCCCACGGAAAAAGTAGGCACGGGTTATCAGGGAAGCTGTAGCTCGAGAAAAACAGGGGAGCTATTTAGTATGAGGGTGAAAAACAGTAACTAGGAGTGTTCTGGTGCAGTGAGCCCAGGAACTGTAAAAAGGATGTTGTGGAGCAGCTGCTCTGCGACTCGGAGGGGTTTTGAGCCCTTGCACCTCTCAGCTCATCTCCAAAGTGTGTTCACCTGAAAGCTCTGCAGAATGGGGGCTGCAGGAGAGCAAACGAGTGCTGTGTGTTTCAGACATGGTGAAGAGCGACCACTTAGCAAAGCTCTGCTTAGAGATAGAACATCAAACCCAGAAACCTTGGCTTTGAAAACTGAAATCCAAGGGCAGGTCAGAATATCAACAGTTGGGAGAAAACTTGTGTGAATTGTTGAGCTTATAAACAGTGATAAGACAACTTCGTTGGCTTTTTGGATTTGCTTTTCCTTCCTAGGAAAGGAATTCTAGCGGCAAATAAGCATCTGCAGAAAGAGTAGGGGAATAGCAAGTAATTACTTGTGCTTTGTAAGCTGACACAATGTGAAGGAAGGTCTCGAGGAGTTCAGAAGTTTGGAAGAAACTATAGATTCCCAGCAGAAGATGCTTTCCCGTCTCATCTGTGTGTTGGTGATATGACTAAAACTGACACTGCACTGTAATCCTGGGGGTTCTGTGAGGTTCCTTGGGAGAGCAGGGAACAGAGCTGAACCTGAAAGTTACTCCTGAAGATGCTCTGTGTAGCCGGAGTGTTCCTGGTTTGTGCTGAAGCAGCTCTTTTTCATCCAGGAATATTGAATTCTTGTTTGAAATAACAGCATTTCAAATCCAGCCTCAGAACCAAGGGCTTTTTCAAATGTTAATTTCAATTGAAGAAGATCTAAAGTGGTTAAAATAGCCTTGATTTCCCAGCTTCAATCGTTTGGTTCTGAAAACATCGTTTTTCACATTTTTTCTGAAGTACTAATTGATAAGTCTTGTGGCTGGATGGGCATGTGCCTGTTGGGGTGGTGAGGTGTGTGTGCAAACAAACACGGGCTGGGACTGCTCTGAGAGGGCTCAGAGCCCGTGTGAGTGCCCATTCTCAGCCTGGCAGGGGCTGCTCCTTCTACCCCAGCTTAGTGCTGTTCCTCGTGCTGGTGTGTCCAGTTGTCAGCTTTGCCCTGTGTCTGTCCCACTGCCCAGCTCCCACCCCTTCCTGGATGGCCACAGGGTCGTTGGCCCTGCTGGGCTGACCCTGCACTAACCCTGCTGTCCCTCTGCAGGGACAATCAGGACACGTGTTCCTGTTCTGGAAGCACCTTTCCCATGTCATTTGAGGGGCCCTGTGCAATCTGCACTGCCCAGGTAATTCAGGTGCCCTACTAGGTTTGTCTTGTGTTGCCTGGGATTAGGGTCAGAACCTTCTGTCCTCCGAATAATTTGTCTTGATGACACTATCAGGTCACTTTTCCAAGTGTTAAAGGCATGGCACGTTCTTTCAGGAATGATCCTTCTGTATCAGGATTGATGTTCACCTGCAGGAAATAGTGAGGGAGCTCATAGTGGAGTGACAGAAGTGCACACATTGGGTATTCCAGGTTCTCTGTAGCAGTGTCCCATGTGTGAGTTAATTAACAAAGGCATAAATAGTTTCACTAGAACTTGTTCCCAGATGTGAAAGCTGCTCTTTGGCAATAACTCATCTCCAGATCTGCAGTTCCGTCCCCACTTTGTGTCTTTCATGTACTGTAGGGAACATTCAGAGCTTAATGTGCTTTGAAAGACTGTTTCCAACAGCATCATTAGTAATTGTGGTCAGAGGATTTACAATACTGCTGGAATAAAGGAATTATTTTTAAATAGCTTGTTTGGCCAATCTGGGGAGAAAAATCAGTGGCTGAATGGGGAGGAATACCTGTAAGTAGCCTCTAAAAGTCTGTGTCCAGTTCCCAGGAATGCCCAGTGCCCCTTCAGACCTCTGTCAGGCTTGGGCAGTGCTAAGGAACTGCCAGTTGGCTTTATTAACTGCTGCAGAAATGCTTTGGGTTGAACATACGCATCCAAAGTTTCAGAGCTTGTTCCTTGATCTGCAGGAAATACAGGTTGAACCCTTTGACTTTTCATGGTATTTATTGAACACTTTCCTAGAGTTCTGTCTGTTTTCTGTGCTGACTCCTTGCCTTCCTGTTGCATAAATCTGATTCCTGAGATCGTGCAGTACATTCCCTAGTAGCAGCATACACCATCCTTTACCAAGAAAGTCCAAGAGGCTTTACCATTTAGTTATTCATTTTCCATTCAGAGAGGCTGCAGAGGGAGAGGCTGAGCTTTTGCTTTCAGCCTAAAACCAAAAGTGAACTTCTATATTCAAAAAGCAGAACAAAAAATGAAATGTTTTGGTGCTGAAATGTTTCTTCCTTGGGAGGAAACTCTGGGCAGTGGAGCCGGGAAGGCATTTTGCTACTGTTACATCCAGGATCAAACCCCTCTCAGTTACCTTGGCTCTGCTCCCTCCCCTCCAGATGTTGGGCCCCACCACAGGTGGGAGGGAAGGGACCCGTGGGAGAGAGTTTTGTGGTGGCAGTGAAGTCCCACGTGTTGCCTGCAGCTCCACAGTGATCTGCGAGATGGGCAAAAGTGGGTCTGAACCCCTTTGGCTTTGGCTCGCCTTCACAGGAGCTCCTGGAACTCCATAAAAGTAATTGGATTCCTCTAAAGCTGGTGTGGAAATTGTATTGGGACAAGAAAAAGAAATTATTTTCTTTTAATTGGAGTGTGTGCCAGCTTTGTGGGTGAGAGGCTTGGAGCTGCTTTAATTTCATGAGAAAGTGAATTAGTTTGAAGTAGCTAATGGTGGTGGATTTAAAATCCATATTTTAGTGTAGCTGGCTCAGACATTCCCAGTTTGGAAGAACAAATGTATATTTCAATAATTTACATGTGATATTTCTTTACATTCTCTTTTTAGCTCTTGTTTAGAAAGCTGAATTTTTATTAGTGCAGTAGGTGTGATACTTAATTGAAATGTGTCAGGTAATGATGGTTTCCATTGTGTGTGGGGGGAAAAAAAGCATTATTGTAATAAAGCTTTTTGGATCCAGCTTTAGGTAAAAAGGTCATTATTTGTAAGGTTGTCAGATCTCTTCTGGAGGTCCTTGTGTTTTTTCATCTGTTTAGGAGAATTTATAGCTGTGTCATGGTTTAACTAGTACTCCCTAGGTGATGTTTTGCATGAAGATAAGTTTATCTCTGAAAATACCACAGAAATTTGCACTAGAACCTTGTTCTCTTTCATGTCAGGTGTGAGGCAGTTCTGTGCTACAATTGCCTTGTAGGTTCACATTTCCATCCCTGTGGGTGGGGCTGTTACAAGTTTTTATATCCAGTGAAACACCTGTATTGCCCAGAAGTGCATGTACTTAATTTGGTTTAGCTGATAGGGGTTTAATTGCTTTTCGCATGACTTATATGAAGTGTAGGTGCTACTCAGAGAAATATTTGAGGTATATTTGTGTAAGAAGTCACGACACTCAGAATTTAATAGAACAGACCAAGTGAACCAAGAGGATTCACTCACACAGGATGTTTCCCACAGGGGCTCACACCAGCATTGCTCCTGATTTTTAACCTCGGGTGTTTGCAGACATCTGCAGCGTGCAGGTGTCCTCTGAGAACAGATGTTTGGGCTACTTTTCAAACTGGATCTTTGTTCTGACAAATGTGAGGAAAACTTCCCCACTGCTCTGTATAGACCTCGAGCTCAGTTTTGACATCCCTTCCCTTTGGTGGGGAATCCTTGTATCATGGAGGAGGCAGGAAACTGAGACCTGATTCTACAGATAAATCATCCTTCCCTGGGGATGCCTTTGGATTTT